GAGAGTGCAAATCTGGCAGTCGGATGAGCGGTGGAAACTAAAGTCCGAATTCCGTGTATTTCCAGCATTTCTTGGGTGTGCTCAGCTCTGTGGTGCACCGGAGGGGGCATGAGACTCAGCGTCTGCCACCGGGAAACCTGCAGTCTGGGGACAACGGGGACGGACACGGCTATCTGGGATTCGAGAGTGAAAGAAGGAAGCCAGCTTTCCCCAGAAGTATAAATAGTGGACTGTGAGGGCCCAGACAGAATGATCCTGTTTAGGAGAGGAAGTGCATGAGAGGATGGCTTTTTAGAAGAGGTGGCATTAGTGCCAGGTATGGATGGATAGATCAGTTGAAAAAAGAGGAGGCAGACGCTGCATTGACGAGGACAAGGCGTGCTCAAAGGGACGCAGAGGACAAGTAAAGAGTGATTTGGTAGAATTAAAAGAGTAATATAAGTTGATTGAGGAGTTTCCCTCCTCCTGTCTCCTCTTCCCTCCCTCCCCTCTCTCCCTCCCTTCTCTTCCTTCCTTCCTCCTTCCTTCCTTCCTTCCTTCCTTCCTTCCGTTCCTTCTTCCTTCCTTCTTCTTCTTCCCTCCTTCCTGTCTTTCCTCTCTTTCTTAATCGCCCTCCTCCCTTTTTATCCTTTCTGCCAGCACTGAGGTATGTGCTGAACCAAACATGGTAGCCTCCTCGCTGAAGCTTAGAAGGGGCAGCTCCCCTTGCGTTAGGAATGAACCCCAGGGAATTAGTCTGAGGAGCAGGGAATGACTCACAGCTTCCAGTTCAGCTAGAAAGCTCTTTCAGTAGCCTAGAGAAGACAGACTGGGAAGCTTCATCAGGAGAATTGTCATGGCACTGCAGAGGTGGGGTGTATGCCATTAATTGTTATCAAAGCTCTCGGTGGAATTATTACGTAGTCTAGTATAAGTGGTAAAAGCATGAACCTGGAAGCCAGACTACCTGGGTTTGTACCTCAGCTCCAGTCCTCACTAGATGTGTAACCTTGGGCACATTGTTTAACTTCTCTCTGCCTCAGTTTACTTACCTGTAAAATGGAGATAACAATAGTAATTCCCTCACAGAGAAGTTGGGAATTAAATGACTTAATACAAATAAATAAACTCTTAGAAAAGTGCCTGGCATGTGTCAGTCCTGTAAAAATATAAGCTATAATTATTAAATTATTAAATTCAGTAAATTATTAAATTACTTCTTCTAGTGCACTAAATGAAAGTGAGCTTTCAAAAGAGGTGCCAGTTGATCCCACTTTTGCTGGAAACAGTAGATGAAATTGTTTTGTACAAGTAAACAGCTTTTCAGGAATATGAAAGAATCACACATATTCAACTATTATGGAAAGAAAGAAAGAAGGAAGGAAGGAAGGAAGGAAGGAAGGAAGGCAGGCAGGCAGGAAGGCAAGCAAGCAAGCAGTAGCAACTATTTAGAGCCAATCTGGCTATTGTTATATTACTTTTCTTTCCAAATGTGGGAAGAAAGTTAAATGCAACACACGCGCGTGTGTACGCGTACACACACACACACGTACACACAGACACACACACTCCTATGTATCTCCTTAGAGGAGACAGTGTGTTTATCCATTGAAATATTTCACTGACAAGTTTTGGAAATAATCTCACAAACTTAAATCCTGGCCTTTGAATTATTTCCAGAACTTTTGGCTATAACGTTGGGGTAGAGAGAGAAGTCCCATGTGACTTATTTTCTACTTTTATCATCGAAGCAAATGGCCCATTAACACAGCTCCTTCAGGCTGAGCCCATTAGATGATGCACGCCCTCCAAGGGCAAGGACACTGGGAGAGTGTTTTCTAGTGGTCAAGGGCAAAATTATTTCTTCTAGTGGAAGAATGAGAACAACCCTCCTTTTTGCACGTAACGGTAGATATAAGAAAGCACCAAATATACTGGGCAGAGAAATTACCAAGATGATAGCTGTCTTCAAAGGCAAATTCCTGTTTTTATAATCGAGGTTAGTAATTTTGGTTTCAGTAACGGTGTGTCCTCATTAACTATTCAGAAATGACGTTAATTTTAAGTTTCATCAGTATATGAGGAACGTCTGTTTACTTTTAAACACATTTGCATATTTGCATTATTAGCAGGGTGTTATAAAACCAAAAAAAAATTTCAGGGAGCTCACTATAGATTTTGTACCATTTACCCTTCTTTAAAAAATAATCTTCAAAAATCCCAAATTACTTCTATGTTTACAACAAAAATAATTTCTATGATGATAGTGAATAGTTCAGCTTCCCAGTGTACTGTAATCAGGGGTTGTTCTTTTTTCCCTTGCCTCCGGACATCATCTTAAACACCTTCATTCCAAACTACCAGGCATTTGAATTGTACACAAATTTAAATTTGCTGTCACCAAAACAAATGTGAAGCGTTCCTGTTTCTTGTTTCTGGTGAGCCTCTCCCTTCATTCATTCACCCTCCTCACCTAGGAGCAGCTACACCTCGTGTGTCAGAAGCGTGCCATACAGAAAATGGAAGAGGCTGGCACCTCAGGGTCAGTGCTTGGCCATTCATTTCCAGGGTCCCAGGAAATACTACAGCCAATGCATCCAACTGTCACTTCCATCCTCCCAAATCCAAGCATTCAGTAGGGCCTGGCCACACTATGTCTACAGACACCATGGTGAATTATCATGCAGGGAGGCTTGGATCAATTAATTAGTAGGTCTTATTGAAGCCAAATATAATTCATTACGCAGTTTCGAGTTATTCAAATTTAACTCCCCTAAGATTACATCATAGAATTATTGGCAAACAGAAAATAGGTATCAGTAAAGTCTCTTCTTGGTGAATCCTTGTTACTCACCTTTGGTTACCTAGGACTCCTCCAATTCAGGCATACACATTTTGAACATGCAGCCCACTATATGAAAGTCAAACACACATACACACACACACACACACACACACACACACACACGCACACGCCTCATGGACTTAAAGGATGCTTTGTTTTCATCTATCTGATGTGATTAATAAATTGCCAAAGGGTAAGGTAACGTGTATAGACATGGTAGCACCCATTTAGGATGGATGATAACTGTTTTCTTAGTTGCTCACCATGTTGCATTCAAAATAAATTTTAATGAACATCAAAACTGAACAAGAACAAGAGATACACGTCACCTCTGTTTGGTGACACCAGATTTAAAATGGTTAAAGATATGAAGGCCTGGCAGTTTGGTATAAATGTACTTAAAATTATGTCAGGAAACTGGAATAAAACAACTTCAGACACATCTTGGGATACAGCCTTGATTCCTTTGTAATGACAAAATAACAGCAACTAGTTTAATTATTTTTTATTTTAATTTAAGTTCTGCAATACAGATGCACAACGTGCAGGATTATTACATAGGTATACATGTGCCATGGTGGTTTGCTGCACCCATCAACCTGTCATCCAGGTTTTAAGCCCCACAGGCATTAGGTATTTGTCCTAATGCTCTCCCTCCCCTTTTTTCCCACCCCCCGACAGGCCCCGGTGTGATGTCCCCCTCCCTGTGTCCATGTGTTCTCATTGTTCAACTCCCACTTATGAAATAGTTTAATTATTACTCATTCAGAATTGTAAAAGCACAAACCATTTCTCACTGAATTCATCTTTACATTAAAATGAATGGGAATCTCTTTCTCATGGTATTTCACCAAACTTTGTTGTTTGGTTCTGTTTTTTAAAAGAAAAATAAGGAAAATGACTTTAGAGAATGAAATATTTCAAATGTACATTGGTATTTAATCTTTAACAAATGTAGAATTTAATAGTATCATGAATATGCAAGGTCACATACATACTTAAAAATGTTACATGTAAATTATTTATTTATGGTATGTGTACGAAAGAGACAGAGTGATAGACAGACAGAGAGAGAGGATCAGTGTCATCAACTTACCATTTGGGGATACATAAGTTCAGATTGAAGGTAAGTAAAGCATGTGACGAAATTTCAGATTCATCCGATGGACACTGATTGCTTAAGCTCATTTTAAAAAAGATTTTAAAAATTGTTTAAGAATTCTTCTGAGAAGCCATATATTGCCATAGCCAGAGTTCTTCCATACAGGATGAGATTATACAGGTTGTTTTGAGTTTCATGGTTTACTGACAAACCTTAATAACAATTCTGGTTTCATTTCTGCTTCAATTATGCAAAAGTGAGAACATGACTAATTAATCCTCTCCAGTCAATAGCAGCCTTGAAGGATTTTTGATCATTTGTACTGTAAATTTCTTTTGAATGTTGATACTTCAATATTCAAATTGGCACCAAATTATTTGCTCCACTGAAGAGTACATGCTGAAAATGTTTGTGAGTTTCAAAGATTCTTCATGTAGGTACAAATTTTAAATCTTGACAAAAATGCTTCATGGCTTACCCATTAGATAGTAAAAAGTCAGTAATATCTGAGTATATGGAATATACCAATAACAGATAATGTACAATTTTATACTTCCTTTATGATTATCCTAGTGTTATCTTAAATGACTTTTTCACTGATGTTCTTATATAACTTATTTGCTTTTTACATTTTTTTTCTACAAAATCAAGAGACAGTTCCCTCTTTTTGCAGTAGCCAAATGTATTAAGAGCAAACTAAATTACCAGATAGAGAAGTTCTCACCATATATGGTCAGAGCGTATTTAATTTCATGCATGTGTGAAAGATAATAATGTGATTTCCAGGTACTAAATATTCCTTAGCCATTCACACTCAGTACTATTATCTGGAATCAAACTAGATTAAACTTACAGAATGGTGAATTACTGAAAATAATGAAGTTAAGGCAATTCATTAATCTTTATCTGCTTGTCTTTTTTATAGCCTGGATGAAATGAAAAAATTCATTTGGGGGACTGATCAGATTTCAAAGGGTCTAACATTATGAAAAGAAACACTGGACTGAAAATGTTTTTTTTTTCTTTTTTAATTACACACAGCACCTTTCTTACATGCCTCTGTTTTTCTTTTAGTGGCAGAGCATTTCTATAACACTGGTTGAGAAAGTTCAGATGATTGCTGTAATCCTAGGATCCCTGTTCTTAATAGCCAGTGTGACTTGGCTCCTCTGGTCAGCCTTCAGCCCCTATGCAGTGTGGCAGAGGAAGGACATCCTTTTTCAGATCTGCTATGGAATGTATGGTTTTATGGATCTAGTGTGCATAGGTAAGACCATGACCTTCAACGTTAACACACTGTCAGTAATCCATTTCTTTCAGCGATTACGTTTTCAGCATTCGAATCTAATAGAGAATGTTGTGGATTGAGTTATCTCAGTTCTCCAGTTAATGAATTAGCTGCGGGTCACAATTGGGCTGCTTTTCTAAGAAAGCACAGAATCTATATTCCTGTGTAGTTTGAAAAAAAAAATTAACAGGATAATGCCCATTTAAAGTGAGATATTGTGCAACTGAAAGAAAGGAGGAAGGGTTGAAGAAATTAGTTGGAGTGAATGATCTAAGGATAGTCGTTTATTTCTAAGGAATAAGAGCAAACCAGTTGCCCTTTACAAAGCTGGGGGTCCTAGCCGATGCACATGGCGTTACTGTATTGTGCATTTGGGGAGAGGACAGACATCTCCATGTCTTACATCATGATGACTGTGCAGATTCTCTGAGGGCAGAAAGGGGCCCCTTCGAAGGTTAGGGACTTGGGGACAGTTTTCCTTGCTGGCCTGTGTGTCTTTGTTTTACTTAATAAACTCAGTGACTTAGAAGATAAAAAGAATCAAACATTTTAGCTAAAATAAACCCTAGGAAAAGGTTACTTATGTGTTGCATTTGACCCATCTATTGTTCTCTAGTACTGTGAGAAAACGGAAGCCAATCATGCAGCATTTATGTGGCATGTGTGAGGTGCACAGGCATCGCGATGGTGACCAGTTGGTGGGGGGTAGAGCGGTGTGGGTGGCTGTAGGGAGGTACCATGGCATCCGGAGCATTTTCCTGCTCTGATGTGGCAGAAATGCACAGGCTCCACCCAGATCTGCTGAATTAGGAACTTCAGGGGTGGGGCCCAGCCATCTGAGTTTTACAGCCCCTCCAAGGTTCTGATGCACGCAGAAGCTTGAGGACTACCAGCTTCAGGGGATGGATGCTAAGCTTGGGATCAAGATACTTGGTTTCTAATCCTGGCCTCTGCTTGGGCAGGTCCCCTTCATCCCTCCATGCTTCTGTTTTCTCACCTATAAAAATGCGAAAGGATAATTCCAACTATGCAAGTCTAAATAAAGGAAATAATGATTATAAAATAATTATGTTATTAATGAGAAGTTATAGATTAAGTATATTTGATTAAGTTGGAAATGTTGAATAACTTTGAGATCACTTAAATTTAATGCCTCTACTTACTAGAGCTTTAATTTGACTAGCAATTTTAGTATCTTCAGTCATTCTTTTCTAAAAGAACTCTATAAATGTTTAAAATATGATCAGCATGATTTTTTGTTTTTACTTTTTTTCTTTGCTCTTTTCTCACTAGTACAAGTCTAATAAGAAAGAAAATGATCAAATTTCAGGCCAGAAAGAAAAAAATAAAAGAGCGAATATTTTGAATAATATATAAACTGACTAGATGTTGCCTGAATAATTGAACTAATCATGTATATGAACAATTTGCATGAAATGTGATAATGCATATGAAAGCATTTGGAAGTTCTAAATCTTTATTCAAATATAATCTCTAAGGCATTGCTCTAATAAAGAAGAATCACACAATTGATCCACAAATTGAATCCCTTAACACATTCAAAGACAGGGTTTATTCTGTCTTTCAGCATGAATGATATAAAATGAAGTGTTCCATTGATATTCAAAGGGGAGATGCAAAATGAAAGAGCCAGTTAGTTCCCAAGCCAACCTGGAAAGGAAAAAAGTCCTGTTGACTCTCTTGCCCTCAGTATAAACACTCAAAAAGACCATGCATTTCCTGGTTAGGAAATGATTTTTTTTAATTTCACGACTTACATTTAGTGCTGAGTTATTATATCTTAAATTCTGATGACTAATGTTAGTATTTTAGTCAAGATTATTACAATTCTGGTTTCAAGAGCAAAGACATATGAACAAATAATCTTTCAGTAATATATGACAATTTCAAGCTTCTCTTTTAAAATTTGAGCATTTGCCCATTTTATAAAATCAAATTTCTTAGGAACAAAAACAGTTGCCATTTCTCTGGAGATATTTTGGAGAATAAGTTTTTTTAAATTTTTTTAAAATTATGCTTTAAGTTCTAGGGTACATGTGCACAACGTGCGGGTTTGTTACATATGTATACATGTGCCATATTGGTGTGCTGCACCCATTAACTTGTCATTTACAGTAAGTATATCTCCTAATACTGTCCCTTCTCCCTTCCCCCCACCCCACAATAGGCCCTGGGGAACATCACACACCGAGAATGAGTATTTTATCTGAGTCTTAAATATTGACAGTACGTTTCATTGTGTTTTGACTCATCAAGTCCTAATTTTATCATTCCATGATCTATTTGTATATTTTTAAAAAAATTAAAGAATTCTGATTGAACATTGTTTATTTTACTTGGCAGTTTCACTAATTAGTCTGTTCTGGCCTGGAAAATATCTTAATTTTTTTCACCAAGAAATTAAGAAACTATTATAGTAAAGACAGCAAAATACTCATAGTCTACCAATAGCCAATTGGATTGCAGCCAGGAAGAGCTCCTGCTAATATTTCAAATTAATTCAAGTGTCTGCAAATTAAATGCAGACAGTAACAAAGATCATATTGATTGTACCTTAAATACTCCTGACTGGAAGACTTAGAGTTCGAGTTAGTGTGAAAAGCAGGTTTACAACTTTGCATCCCATTTCCTTAGCTCAGTTTAATAAATATTTCCTAGGAACTTTCTATGTGTTGAATAGTGCTAGGTTCTGCGAATAAAAATAGGAGTCGCCCACTTTCCTTCCCCCAAGGAGCTCATGAGGAGGACAGGCAGGTAAGTAAGTGATTAGAATACAGTGGGATGTGCACAGTTGCGGAAGTATGCACAGGAAGGGGTAGTTGGACAACACCAGGAGGGATGAACCGTGCGGTGCTGTGTGTAGGGAGGGGAAGGTTTCAGGCTGATTTCATGGGGAAGTGATAGCCAAGAGATGAACAGATACTTGGCAAATAGAGAGCTGGCCTCCTTCTTGCCATGAGAAGATGTGAGATTGGTTCCCCATTCAAAGAGTTTTAACATAATTGGAGACATCCCTCTTTCCTGTCTGTCCAAGCTTTCCAAACTTGATTCTACCTAAGTAGAAGAAACAGGTTGGCAGCTTCATAAATATCATTTGAAAAAATTATTCTGAAAATCCATAGAAGATTGTTCCAGAATCCAAAAATGTTGTCATCCAGCCAGTCTATGTAATGCTTAGAAGAGTTGGATTGTTAAACAGAAGTTAAGATTTGGAGAACATTTGTTTACTTGGGGAAATTTATGTACTTATTCCTAGGCACAGTGAATTTGTTTGTTGCTTTCATTCGTAATTAATACATTTTCCTCTTTCCCAATATTTAGTTTTTTTTTTCTTGCTGTTAACCTTTTGAGTTTGCTCAAGGGTCTAGCCACTATTATAGTTGAAACATCTAGATCGGGGCTGTTCAAAATAACTTTCTGCAAGGACGAAAATATTCTGTATCTGTGGCATCCAATTCTATTGACACTAGCGAAATTTGGCTATTGAGCACTTGAAATGTGGCTAGTGAGACTGAGAAGTTAATTTCCAATTTAATTTAAATAGCCACATGTGGCTAGTGGCTATTACTTTAGACACAGATTCTACAGATGGAATGGCAAGTGTGTAAGAACTTGAATAACAGATTTCCCTTTGTCTGTATAAATGGGTTGCATTTGCTAAGTGATAAAGGAACTCTTTTCCAAGAGAGGTGAATAAAGTGAAAATGAGCTTGAGAATTAAGAGAAGGGTGTTAAAGTATGTGTGATTGCCAAGAGTTAGTAATAAAGGAGAGACATGTTAGACAAATGACTCTTTTTGTTACTGGACTTTTTAAGAATACTTCTATGGATCAAGTGTGAATTTAATTTTCAATCTGTACTTATTATAAAATTCACATCTATTTTAAGGAGATTAGAATGTAAAGAGATTCTATTTGGGGAGCACTTCTGCATATTTAAATAGATGGCATGATTGTACACCAGGAAAACTAATAGAAAGGATTTAAGTCACTTTAGGATTTAAGCTAGTGGCAGTAATTTAGGGAGAAGTAACAGCCAGGGAAGCTCATGTTGGCTCCCTGCTAAAAAAGATTTGCACAGTGGACAAAGGAAGATGAGCAAACCCAGGAATGAAGCCCACCTGCCCGGCAGAAGGCCTTGGGCAGAGGATTTGCTTCTTCACCCTGGACACTTTGAGAAAAAATAGAAGAGCATCATTTCCACTGACCATTTGATTGAAGGGAAGCTAGTGCCACAAGAAGAATATGTTTATTAATCACTAAAAGTTTGAGGGACCAGAAGAGGGCCATGTGATTACAGGAGTTATTAGATAAACTTGCATCTAAAAAGTGAGGGCAGTCACCAAGTCATTTTAGCATCTGATAGAACCAGATGAGGTGATTTCAAGTTCTTGTGAATAGAAGCAGCAAACCAAAACTCTGTTATCGTCAGTGATATTTGCAAAATAGAGGTAGTAGTGCTTGTACCTCTAATCAACACTGTAAGTTAGTGGCAAATCCAAGTCTGGAAATGTTTTGATCTTCCCTCAAACACTATGGGAAGAAACTGATTACATTTATAACACTTAAAAACATGGATTGCTTTGGCCTCTTAAAATTTTTCCTAATTGTCCATATAATATACACACACATAAAATTTGTGTTTATAATTGTGAAATCTATAAAGTTAAAAAAGACCACTTAACTCACATCTTCAATTCTGCTATGCTACTCCCTTTGCAGAAGTGTCCCCTCTCTGCATTTTGAGGTTTATCTTTCAGATTTTTTCGTTAGGTTTACATGGGTTTAGGTACATGGATACTTCTGCATTTTATTTATAAGTGAGATCATACTGTACAAGGTGCTGAGAAAATAGTCTTTTTCACTCAACGATATAATCTAGAGATCTTTCCCTGTTATAACAGATGCACAACAATGTATTTAAACTTTTTTCTACTGATGAATTTTTAGGTTGCTACC